CTGTGTATTCCTTCCATCTTTTCTTGATGCATTCTGCATCATTCAATAATTTGCCCAGTGAATCTTTCAATAGCGAAAGTCGAGGCTTGAATTTTTTCCTCAGTTCCCTACAGCTATAGCTCACATTATCTCACACTGATGGGGATACACCATATGCCATCAATTTATTGATAAGAAAAAAAAAATTACATATCCAGTGAAAAAATGTGCCTGATAATTTACTTACCAATATTTTATATAATTTACAGTTAATATAATCACCTCACAAAACACATTTGGAGAGGAATATAAAAGATTATTAATAGCATATGGCAGTAGGAAATACAGTATCAAACACATTACCTTAACAAGCACTGTATTGACAAAAAACGATTGCTGTTAGGTGGCTTTGGTTCCAAATTATAGTGACTATATAGGTTTTCTGCAGGAAAAAGATGAGGCTTTCTGCTCCTGTAAAGATTTCCAACGTCGGACACCCTATACAGGGTCGTTATGAGTAGGAACCGACTCCACAGCACATAACCACCACCACCACCACCACCATATAAGGTTTCTAAGGTTGTAAATCCTTGCCAGACCAGAAAGTATCATCTTTCTTCCACAAAAATATTCATACCGACCCATTTATCAACTGAATGTTCTTCCTCATATGGTCAGTTTGAACTGAAAGGTCGGCCACTTCTTGGAAACCCTAATCAGGCTCGCTATGATTTGAACTGATGGTACTTAACAATGACTTAGAGGTCCTGAAGGGAAAACAGGTCATCCATCATGGTATCACAATTGTTTTCTACAATCTGCTGGCTCTCTGAATTAGATACTGTGTTTCTTTAAAATAGTAACAACACTTACATCTCAGGTTTACTGTGATAACTAAATGAGATGCACAGAAAGTTCTCAACTCAGTGACAACACAATAAGCAGTAGAAGGTACATCATTTTGTTCAGGTTTAGAAATAACTTACAACAAATTTTACACCTGTGATTTTCAATAATGCCATACTTTTAATTTTTCATCTTGCTTAAATAAAAGACATTTGTAGAAAATAAAATTTAACTAAGATTTACTTACCTGGATTTAAAGCAAAATTATCTATTAAACTCTTCCAAGCAATAAATGCTATTTTTTTTATCATGGGTGCTCCACTACGAAATCCTAGCTCTTCTAGCTGCAAGAGAGCATTGATGAAACTCCCACTTCGATGCAAGGTCTAAAAAAAGGAGCAATCATTAATAAGTGACTTATATGCATGAAATAAAAGACACTTTTATCATTCATTAATGTATAGATTCGTTTAATAAAGGCTCTTAGAGGAGATACAACAAATTATCCACAAAACTGAAACATCCGCTAAGTATTATAATACATTTATATAATTTTAGAAATTTAATCGAATTCTGTATACATATTCAGAATTCAAGATCACAAAACCTTGACACAGAATATTTCTGAAACACTACAGAAAAACTGAAAACGTAGATAAATTTCAAAATTTAGAGCTGTGAGTTAATGTGCTGGACTGCAAGCTCGTTTGAACAGCAACTTTAGCCGTTCATGCTTACCAGCCACTCCACAGAAACCCTATACAGGGTCACTATGTGTAGGAACTGACATGACAGCACTTAACAATACAAAAACTAGATAATCATATGAAAAAGATATCAATATCAAAGGGAAAATAAGATTTTAAGCTCTGAAACAATAAAAACTGCCATTTCAAATCTTTCAACGCAACTAAAATAGCATGAAAAACTAGTTAAGGGAAAATTTCTCCAAAATTTCAATGAGAAAAAGAAATGTAGAAAACGTTAGCATCTGCTAATAAATCCAAAACACGACTGCCATCAAGTCAATGCTGACACACAAGGATATAGAGTTTCCAAGACTAAACCTCCATAGGAGTGAACGGTCTCATCTCTCCCCCACAGAGCAGCTGGTAAGACGGTGAAGACAAAACATATGAACAGAACAAAAATTAGATAACTTCAGAAATACTTGCTAAATGACATCAAGTTGGTTCCAACCCACAAAGACCCTACATGGATTCTAAAGAGTGGCTGGTGAGTGTGAACTGCCAACCCTGCAGTCCAGTGTTTACCCTACAGCGCCACACCAGAACTCTAAGGGATGGTTAGAAGTATCTGACATCCAAAAACTATGGTATTACCTTTCCAAGGAGTTTGACGAACAAAGGCCATAATTTCAGCACGTAAGTCTCATTTTTATTCATAAATAGATTTTGGAGTTCTGATATTAATTTCTGTAAATATAAACAAAAGTATTTATCAAAGTCAAAAATTAATTTTCAAAGATTGATAGCCCCAGAAAAGTAAATTTGCATATATTTTATTAGGTAAACTTTCAAGCATGTTGTTATTAAGTGCCATGGAGCTGGTACCAACTCATAGCACCCCTGCATGTTGGGTTTCATATACTTAACGACCTTGTGGTTAGCAGTTCTGTGCTTATCCTACAGTGCCATACCAGGACTCTACCAAGCATGTAACAAATAAATACATATAACAAATAAGTACAGGATACTCAAACACAAATATCTAGCATCTACTATCAACACTTTACTATAATTGTTTTATCACATGAGGATTCAAAATGTTTGCAGAAAAACTGAACTAAAACATAATAGAAATTTTCAAAGAACTTTTGAAGTCCCCTTTTATCTACCAATACACTGTAGAGGAATACATTTTCCCCTGAAAACTTCAGCATGCAAGAAGTCAGAAAGTATTGCTAAAAAAATCAGACACCTTTATTAAACTATCAAAGTATGAAGCTAATGGTTTGCAAAATACAAAGGGGACTACAAAGTGTTCATGGAAAAATAGAATTGAAATGTGATTTTCCAGTTAACTTTCTGAAGTCTTAAACTATCCTCCCTCCCTAGGTCTATACATTGCTAAAGGAGGTGTCTATCTCTGTAACACTTTCCCCAAAGAATTCTGCACTCTTCAATTTATACCACATCAAAACCAGTTTTGGCATCCTCAAGGGACCCAAATCACATTCCTTTTCAATTTTGAGTTTGGGAAACAAAAAGAAGTTTGAAGAGGCAAGATAAAGATCAGGGCTGTATGCAGGATAGCCCTTGCTTGCTAAGCACAAATGAGGGCATTGCATTGTTGTAATGGCAAAAAAAATGCCATAGTGCATCTTTCGGTCCCTTTCTCACCAACACATTTTTCCATTTTCTTCAAACTTTTTCCTAAGCCACCGGGATCATTCTGTGTCCCTTGGGTCCTACTCAACAGCCACCATAACTTTCTGAGCTGGTCCAGGAGATCCCTTTGGACACACTGTTTCAATTGGGTCTTGCTCTCTGGATTGTTGTTGTTTTACGTGCCATGGTGTCAGTTCTGACTCACAGTGACCCTCTACAGGATTTCCGAGAAGCCCCATCTTTCTCCTGCCGAACAGCTGGTAGTTTCAAACTGCTGACCTTGCAGTTCACAAACCGATCATAACCATTTATGCTACCAGTGCTCTCTGGATAATACTGGTAAATTTAAGATTTGTCCATGATTATAAATGGTTCTATAAAATCATAATCTTCATGGCACACTTTTGGCACATATTGAACTGAAAACTTGATGTTTGCTTAAAGCTGAAAAATGCAAAGCCATGTGAGATTCCAACTTCAGTAGCTATTACATCAATGGTAATTCTACTCTCTTTTTCCACCATTTTCTGGATTTCAAGTCCCTCTTTAGTCTCATCTTTGAGATCTCCAACCTCCCTTGAAACACCTGATTCATCTAAAAATTGTTTTATGTGGGGAAGTATTCCCATAAATTTACTGCAAAGCTTCAATGATTTGGGAAGACACCCACGAGAGTTGTTGAAAACGTGGTTTTAGTCCTGATTTCAAAATAGTTTTTCCCTACCAAGGCACAAAAAGCATCCTTTTTTGAACGCACCCTAACAAGACTAAGACAAGTGAGAACTTGTCTACAGCCATCCAGTGATCACAGAATCATGTTTAAACACATGCTGTTTGGAGTAAACCTATGTTATGTATGATCTGGAAGGAACTCTGGTAGCGTACAGGATTACGAACTGGGCTGCTAACCACAGGATCAGCAGTTCGAATCCAGCAGTTGCTCCACGGGAGAAAGAGAAGACTTTCTGCTCCCATATAGATTTAGTCTTGGAAACCCTTCTTCAGGGTCACTGTGAATCAGAAGTCAACTTGGGGGCACACCACCACTACCACTACCATGTATGGAACTGGTGTCCTGGTGAGGCGCTGCAGGATAATGCACTGAACCACAAGGTTGATGGTTCAAATTCACCAGCCACTCCTCGGAAACCCTATAAAGTGGTCACTATGAGTTGGAACCGACTCAACGGCACTTTAACACCAATGTATGAATTAGATCTAATAGTTGTTGTTGTTGTTGTTAAGTGCCATCGAGTCGGGTCCGACCCATAGCGACCCTGTACAGGGTTTCCGAGGGTGTAAATCTTTACGGGAGTAGAAAGCCTCATCTTTCTCCCGCGGAGCGGCTGGTAGTTTCGAACCGCTGACCTTAAGGTTCGCAGCCCGATTCGTAACCACTACGCTACCAGAGCCCGTAGTGCTAGCTAATTAGGCACTAGAACACTAAGTTAAAGCAAACAGCTCAACAGCCAAATGATGCTTAATCCTCTCATTTTAACGTCGTTTAAAAAATTAGCACAACACCAACGACAGAAATTGAGAAAAATGTATAAAGGATTTATTATAAGGGGGGCTTTACAAAGTTCATGGAAAAATGGAAGTAAAAAGATAATGGAATTTTTCCATGAACTTTTTAAAGCCCCCTCATAAACACTCATCACAGAAAATTAGCAAACATTCTTTCTTTGTGGCCTGAACTGCATTCCCTAATATGTGCTGAATTCTAATTCCAGTAATTTGTAAATATAACCCTGTTTGGATTTACAGGTCATGGTGTAGCATTATGGGTTACTGCACTGGATTGCAAAGTCCTTTCAACTACAAGAGCAGCAGTTCAAGCTCATCAGTTCCTCGGAAACCATACGCAGGATCACTATTACGGGTAGGAACTGTCTGGAACGCATCCAACAACAAAAAATTGTAGGGTGGAGGCCTAAATCTAACCATCTGAGTTTTAGAGACTAGACAGAGGTACATAAAGGGAAAACAGACTTCAAGAAACAGGGAATGCAAAAGATGGCTGGCAAGTACCAAAAACTAGGAGACTCATAGAACGAATCAATGTGACTGAGAAACCCAACTGGCACTTTCGCTTCCTGAACAACGCAAAAATAAACTTCTGTTCTTTAAAGTACCCACTTATGCTGCATTTTGATACAGCAGCACTAAGTAAACTAAAATAATAAGTTATTCACCTATAATATTCTAAACATCATAGAGCTTTCTGAAACAAAACAAAACAACAAAAAAACCCTTGGGTTTTAGGGCTCTCCTTCCTAGATTACTACTGTATCTCTTAACTAGTCTCCTTACTCCCAACTCAAACTCCCCCTAGAATCTATAGGGGGCTTCAACAAATCTGTGGGAAAATGGAAGGAAAAGAACAGAATTTTCTTTTTGAAGCCCTCTTCGTATTTTTAACACAGCTAGAGTGATCCTTTTAAATCCCAAGTCAGCACATAATCACACATAGGCTCAAAATGTTTAAATGCTGCTTTTCATACAACCCAGAGGGGAAAAAATATTGCTTATAATGGTACCTAACATATAAGAATTTGGAGCTCTATTCTTGAAATCATCTCTTTTCTCCCTTCTACACTCTAATCCAGCCATACTGCCCAATCCCCCAGTGTTCTTGAAACATCAACCAGGAACACAACTCAAGGTTGTCCTTGCCTTAAAATCAACTTTCCTCATATTATTCAAATGACTAACTCTTGAACCACCAACAAATCATTATTCCAATGTCCTATTATTTTTGAGGCCTTTCCTGACCATCTGACCCCTTCTTTTCCAATAATACTCTTCTTATCCATTATGCCATCATCCATAGTGGTGTGCACTTAACATACTATATACTTATTATATATCCCATTAGAAAATAAGCTAAACAAGTCCCTTATGTTCACTGTTATATTAACAATGACATATTATATGCTAAAGCCATGGCTAACATAATAATTTGTTGTAGTTGTTAAGTGCCTTTGAATCAGTTCTGATTCATAGCGGCCCTGTATGGCCTTTCCAAGGAGCGGCTGGTGAACGTGAACCACTCGCCTTGTGGTTCAAACCGACCTTGTGGTCCAGTGCTTTATTCCAAAGCACCACATATAATATAGATCCTCAGTAAGTTATTTACTACAAGAAGTTGAAAAATCTACAGCTTGATGCACATACTTAGCAAATTCTACAAACTAGGTAATGCCTGTGTGCTTTCCATTTTTTCTCTATTGGGACAGTGCTAAAACTTAAAAGAATACTAAACTAGTTAATGGGCTTGCTCCCTTTTCTAGAAATTCAGTCCCTTCCTGTTTACTGGTCATGGGGCAAAATGCCTAATTGTAACATTAGTCAACTCCTTTGCTTACTGTAAGGTAGAAAACACTATGCCTACAAATAATTTGTCATTATTTTAATTCACAAAGCTAAGCCTCCTGGGTAATAGTGCCATTATACCAACAAGAACCCAGAATAAATTCTAAGCTTATTGCAAAACCTTAGGATGGAGTACCCCAAAATTCTTTACATGAATACTCACAGTAGTCATAAGCTGCTCCGTAATAGATGCTATTTCATGTTGTTTCTGAAGCAACAGTGGCATTCCCATCTCTAGAGCAGTAGCACCGCGCAGATGTACCTTTTGGGCTGAATGAACCACTAAAGGCAAGACCAGTTTTGCCCACCTCACTGCCTCTTCTCCCATCTGAATTGGGGCCTGTTCAATTAACCTTTAACAGAGAAACCAATGAATTAATTTGACCTTACTTTTTAAGTGTAACAACCAGGAAGTTAAGTCACATTCCGAAATGTGCAACATACAAAATACAACCTATTTGTTTTAATCAACATATATGCTTACATACACAGAGATCAAGAAATAAATCTGAAAACAATCATTAATTTGTTAACAAAAATTATTTAAGGAGGCTTGGAGTAAAAATTATTTTACTTGTTATTTTGGAAATTCCTGTATTCTATTAATTTTTTAAAATAAAGAGCATACTTTGTCTTCAGGAAAAAAACCCCACATAATACTAATAATTATCATTGTGCAATTAAATTCAACTCTCTTTTAGAAGGCAAGAACAGCCAGAGAATCATGATAAAACCTTAGTGTCAATCAGGGCATTAGAACACTAAGAAGCTAAATCAAATAGCTCAACAGGTAAACAAAACTTGCTAGAGTGAAAAACAAAAGCGAAATCCCATTTTCAAAGATTGTGCTAACATGTTCACAAAAGATCAAGAAATGTTCAAGAGAATGTGGGGAATCTTTCTATTCACTTATCTGCAGCTAGACTGTGACTGTCTTCCTAGATTAACTCCTATAGGCTACTTCTGAATTTCATATTCTTAAATGCTTGCCAAAGAGCTTTGTTGTTAAGTGCTGTGGAGTCGGTTCCGACTCATAGCGCTGTTGAGTTTGAATAAACAAGCTAGTGGTTCAAACTGATCTTGTGGTCAGGGCTTATCCTACAGCACACTAGGACTCCACATAAAAACTTTAGCAGATAGCAGAAGTTAATTCTTTAGAACCAGAATAGTGGTGTTCCCATCATAATTATCAAGACTCTTCTTAGGAGACTGCTTCAGCCAAAGCAAAACAAAACAAACCTAGTAACATAAGCACATCCTATCTAATTTCTTCCTGTTATTTTTCCTTGACACTTTTTGTCTAGAACACACTCCCATCAATATTTAGTCCCACAAGTTCAATCTGGGAAATAAATTCCAAATTTACTGAAACTGTTCTTTCAAATTGCACTGCCTCCTAAGGCATACCTGATGATGACATTTAATGCTTCATAATCAAAAATGGCAGAACGGAGCTCTCCTTTATTAAATACTAGTTCTAATGACTCAATTATACTGGATACCTAAAAAACAGAATCAAATAAAAACAAATTAAGCCTGAATTTTTTTTTGGGGGGGGGGGGTGAGAACAGGTGGGTGACATATAAGTAACAAATGTAAAATTGATACTTACTGCTTCGCCTACCACTTCAGCGGGAAATGTCTGCTTGGATATCACCCAAAGTGCCCTAGTACGTACATTTTTGTCTGAAGTCTTAACAATATCATTCAATTTTGAAAGGAGTTCTTGAGTATTTGCTTCTAAAAAACAAGCAGTTTTATTTTAATCCTTCAGAATATTTACATCCTTTAAAAAGAGGGGAAAATGTACTTTTCATTGCCAAAAAAATTACCCATAGAGATCATAGAACTAGAGCTAGTTATCTAGTTTCTTCCTGAAATATAAAATTCAGATCACATGGAAATAAAATACAGTAGAAATGAATACTCCAAATCATACATTTTTAAAAGAGCAATTGAAATATTTCAATAGGTATCCTTTGAGTTTTGCATATATAAGGCAATTTTTTTAAAAACTAGATGTAGTTAAGTCACGTACGTATGCTCCAAAATTAACAACTCCTGCTTGTTTAAGTTTTTATCTATATGGAAAAAAGAATAACTTTACCCTAAATATTCAAAGGTAACAGCTTTCAGACATATTATTACTTATCCTGCTTTACCCTCTCTAAATATCACAGCATAGGTTTCATCTTTACATTGTTGTTAAATGCCGTAGAGAGTCAATGCCGTAGAGTCAGCAACCCTGTAGAGGGTTTCCAAGGAGGAGCTTGGTGGGTTCAAACTGTCAATCTCATGTTAGCAGTCAACTGCTTATCCTACAGCACCCCAGCAGACCCTATTTAAAAGATTCCTGGTGGCACGGTAGGTTAAGGACTATGTAACAGATTACTTGAAATTTTGGAAACCTTCACATCAGGTGCTTTCATTACCACTGGTTCCATAGCATTCCACATTCTCCAGTATGAAAAAGAACTTTTCAATTTAATATGTTCCTTTAGTACAGTTGACCCTTGAACCAATGTGAGGGTTAGGGGTACAAATCCCCTGAACAATCAAAAATTTGCATTTAACTTTTGACTCTCCCAAAACTTAACTTTGTTGTTGTTGTTAAGTGCTGTTTAAGTCAGTTCCAACTCATAGTGATCCTATAAGAGGTTAGGTAAGTTTGAACTTATTAGCCTATTGTTAACTGTAAATGCTGGTAGGATTAGCACTGGACTGGTAACCTCAAGTTGGCAGTGCAAACCCCAAGTCACTCTTTAGAAACCCCTATGTTGTTGTTAAGTGCTGTCAAGTCAGTTCTGACTCATAGCAACCCTGAATAGGATTAACAAGGAACTGGTGGGTTTGAACTGCCAACCTTGCAGTTAGCAGTCCAGTGCGTATCCTGCAGCACACTAAGACTCGCAGATACCCTAATAGAGGGTTGCTATGGTTTGGAACCAACTCACCAGCACATAGCAACTATCTTAACAAGAGCATAAACAGTTAACTTGTTTTATAGTTACATGTATTGTACTGCAACAACATGAAAGCTGCGTTTTCTGAGCTTAGAAAAGGTATTTTGCACAAAGTACAAGGCTTTCATGTCTGCTGGTGTAGCTGCAGTGACAGCTACACAAATTTCCTTTTTTCCAATGGTCTTTATGCTGGATTCATTTAACTTGAAATGGGAGCAACCACAGTTGCAAACCTTCATATATGGTACATGTCAAGTCAAGTCATGGCTTTTCTTTGCTTTTGGGAGGCACTTCACGAGTCCCACGGTATTATATAAGGTTTACAATATTGTACTTGTTAAATGCCGTCATGTTGGTTCCAAGTCTTAGCAACCTTGTATAGGGTTTCTGAGTGGCTGGTGAGCTTGAACCACTGACCTTGCTACCCAAACCAAGCTTTAGCGCATTAACTGGCACCACCACATCAAACACAGAAGACCAGAAATAAACCATTTGTACAGTGATCCTCAATTTAATGATGACATGAACTGCTCATGCAGAGATGATTAGCATCACACTGAGCTTTTAAAAAATGTGCATAAGTGGACATTTGCAATTCAAGCCTGCATTATTCAAGGGTCAACTATACATGTCTCATTAAAATCAAAAGTAAATTTGACAGCCTAAATGACCTGTTTCCCTTGCATAAGAGTTTGTACTTTATCCTAGAGGGAAGGAGAAATGAGATTTTTTAAGGGTTTGCTCACATCTATACTTTTAAAGGCAGTTAGCATGCTAGGCACTGGTGGCATGATAACACAAGTACTGGACTACTACTAACCACCACAAATACATCAGCTCATCCATAGGAGAAAAAACTGGTAATCTGCTCCTGCAAAGATTAGCCTCCAAAATCCTATTATGGGTTGCTGTGTGTCAGAACCAACTAGAAGACACCTAACAACAATCTAAGTATTTCTCAAATACGAAACTATGAATTATAAAACTAATCTGCCAGTAACAGCACTGTTAAATTTCACATGATTTATACTTAAAAACTCTAATAATCATAATAAATTCAACTACCTGATAATCCTGAGGAAATTTTGGGATTATACAGGAAAAACCCCAAGGCCTGAAGAGCAGCACTACTTAGTTCTGGGTTTTGACTGGAAATATGAGTCTACAAAATAAAATCACATTTGTTTAGATAATTGATCAAGAAAAGTAAGTACAACTGTAAATCGGTTTTTAGAGAACAAAACTTGAATTAAAAAAAAAAAATCATTCAAACTCAAACCTTTCAGGAATTTGTTTTTTTTAAAAAGAATAATTATGAGGCAAAGATACATAGCTTCAAAAATACAGGAAGAGGGAAACTACATCGAGGTCAGTTAACTAAGAAACATTTATCTCTAGCCATCTGAAAGCAAAGAGAAAAAAGCTAACAAATGGAAGATGCTAAAGATAGGAAATAAAAAAAAGGAAGGTCGTTCCACAAAGGTAGGTAAAACAAACATTATCTTAATTTAATAAAACACTCATTTTATAGAATAAAGAGAATTGGAACCCCTGTCCATCTGGAATCCACAGTTCAACCCATACTAATGTATATAAAAGCTGTAACAGTCCAAATCTGTCAAAGATAGTCTCATTATACAACCCGAATCTCATTTTGACTTGTAACCCTGTGTCTTTCCTCTGGCTACTCCTATAGTTTTTATCTACAAACCCTCTATTTCTCTGAATTGAATAACCAAAGAGTCCTTGGCTATTTGTTATTCTTAAGCAACAAAACAGCTAATACTAATAATCAAGTATCTGAAGACATTTAACTGGAATACCCATTTTTATAGTTAAAAACAAAGCACCTGGGATATAAGAGATATTAAAACAACCAATTCAGATAACCAGAATGAAGTGGAAGATTTTGAGAGCAACTTCTGTCTCCTGGCTAACAGCTAGCACATGTCTGTGATCAAGTTTTATTATACATACACTGCTTGAAAGTGTTTTTTAACAGTGGTGTGTTTTCTCTTTAAAAGTGTTCTCGACAACAGGGCTCTGGAATACAGGGATCTAGGTATAGCTAGAAGAGGGTAAATAATACTAAAATCCTTGACTGCCTCATGAATATTATTTTCCCTTGCCTACTATTGTAAAATAAACACTGGAGTGGTATAGAAAGGAATGTTGGGAAACATGATTAGAGAAAACTTGTAAGCCCATCTTCAGCCTATAACTGATTGGAATACCTCAAAGGAGTTCTACAACTTGCCCACTGAAACAGGCCTCGTGCAAAGCCTTTACAGACTATAGGACCTTAGGTGGAATCCTGAGTCCCATCCACTACCTTGTGAGATGAGACATTCCCACTAGAAAGGACAAGCAGACTGGAACAGCTACAGTGACAGAAGATACATCTTCATGATGAACCTGACCCAAACTCAGAGCGGTAGTTACTCTAAATACCAACAGAGAGGGAGTCTTCAAATCAAGTATCAATGCTATCTGCTCTGTGCACAGGGTAGATAGGGACGGGCAACTTACACATGGGCTATCTAAAATGAGGGGGCAATAAAGGCACGAAGTGACTGGCTTACAAGGTTTCAAGAGGGAGCTTAGTTATGAGTGTGGGGGGAAAGAAAGAGTCCCCACTAAATTGTTATCATCTTGTCTAGATGGGTCTGGTGAAAGGAGATGAGGATAAGATTCGTTATGACTCAGTAGTGAATAACTGTTATCATGACTAATCGCGACTGTCATAATTGTAAAGGTAGAAATTTTGTAACAAAAAAAAGGGGAGTGATTAATCTTACAGTCCAGAAACAGAGGACCCTAGGACCATCAAGAGAGGAACACACAAATAGAATGTGGGACCTTATCCAGAGAAGCAGCAGCGCCAGAGATGGGGGCATGGAGAGCGGGAGCGGCTGAGGACTCTAGATTCATCAACTAAGAAGAGAAGGACTAAGAACTGGTGGCCAGGAGGCAGACTTGCAGAATGTGCCCTTTGGAGATGTAATTTGTTATATATGCCGGAGTGGGGGGTTTTTTGTTTGTGTGTTTTTTAAAAAAAGCTAAAGTGGATAAAGAGAAATACTTTTAACTGATGGTATATCGAGGGGATTATAATCAATGTAATGAAACAAGTTATATGAATTGTTGAATGTGAAACTGATGATGTGCCCTGTAAACTTTCACTCAATCCACAATAAAAACCTTAAACAAAAAACAAAAAAAAGTGTTCTCGATTACAAGAACAAAAAAGGGTTGATGACTATGAAATAATAAATATTTTGGTAGAATACTTACGTTTAAAAGCACAAAAAGTTTAATGAAATAAGATTTCTGATAACTCTGTGGCGCTGCAGTATAATGCACTTCAACCGCAAGGTTGGCGGTTCAAAACCACCAGCTGCCTGGAAACCCTAGACAGCATTGCTGAGTTGGAATCAGTTCAATACCACTTATGGACTGCTATCTACAAGGTCAGCAATTTAAACCCAGCAGCTGCTCCTTGAAAACCCTATACAGGGCTGCTATGAGTTGGAACCAACTAGGTGGCACTTAACAAGGAGGGTCACATGAAAGAAACCCTGGTGGTGCTATGAGTGGGTTGCTGATAAGTGGTTTAAATCCAATAATCACTTTGTGGGAGAAAGAGGAGCTGTTTGCTCCCATAAAGATTTTCAGGCTCTGAAATCCTGTAAAAGGTTGCTATCAATCTTAATGGACTCAATGGCAGTGAATTTGAATTTGTTTGTTTGTTTATTTTAAGGAAGGTCATAAACAGTACTCACATAGAGATAACATTTAACCTAGGTCCTTGGTTGCTGTTAAACTACACCAACCAAAAAAAAGTAAGCCTAATAAAGGAGCTCTGGTAGCTTAGTGGTTACAAATCGGGCTGCGAGCCGCAAGGTCAGCAGTTCAAAACTATCAGCTGTTCCGCAGGAGAAAGATGAGGCTTTCTGCTCCCGTAAAGATTTACAGTCTCGGAAACCCTGTATAGGGTCCCTATGAGTCGAATGGACTCCAAGGCACATAACAATGACAACAATATTTTAAAAAGAGAGCTAAATAAGAGTGGCAAAAATAGAGAAGTGAAGATACAAAAAGGTTTAATCCAGAGATCAAAGTAGACTAAAATTTTAGAATCACATACTCAGAAGTACATTCTTACAAAAGGAAATAGTAATCTATTTCACAAAAATGTCAGCATTTTGCTTCCAAATCAAGAACATCTCAGGCTGTTATTCAGATGGATGGCTATTGAGAAACTTATTGTGTGCCCTTGAGCAATTAGTGACCCTATATAGGGTTTCTGAGGAGTAGCTGTAGCAATCCTTGTTGTTAAGTGTAGATTCAGACTGACAGTGAACCTGTATAGAGTTTCTGAAGAGCAGCTGGTGAGTTCAAACCAAGGACCTTGCAGTTCAAACTGACCTTGCTTATCCTATAATGCCACACCAGGACTACTCCAATCTGCAATACTTAGGCAAGTTCAAGTAATTGCCTCATCTCCTCAGAGATGTGGAGAATTAAGTGAAAGAATGTTAAAGTACTTAAGAGCATTTGATAAAATAAATGGTACTTAATAATATAGTGATTATTATTGATGCCACTTTATATTTTAGATATAAAATTTTTATGGAGTCAGATAATTTAAACCACACGTGAGCAACTATTTAATAACCTACTTTAAAAACTCTGTATAACCGAGGAAGCTTTTTCTCCACTTCTGCAACGACTTCTTTTCCTTCTTCTCCAGTCATACGACTTAAAAGAGCAAACAGGACACAGAAATATTATGATCACACCTTACAATACGTATCATTCTAAAATCTTGCAAATGAACTATCCGTTAATATTGTTGCTGTTGTGTGCCATCAAGTTGGTTCCAACTAATCATCCTGTATAGGGTTTCCTAGAATGGCTGGTGGGCTTGAACTGCCGACTTTTCAGTTAGCAGCCCAGTGCTTAGCCTACAGCGCCACACGAGGGTACATTAATTAATATGTTGTTAAATGTCATAGTCATTCCAACTCAGGTCATTCCGACTTATATAGTGAGTTTGACCTCGTGGTCCAGTACTTCTCCTACAGCACCACATCAGGACTCCACAGTTGTTGGCAGTGCTGGGGAGTCAGTTCTGACTCATAGTGAGTCTGCAAAGGGTTTCCAAGGTGGATTTGGACCACCAACCTTGTGATGGTCCAATCATCCTACAGCACCACACCAGGATTCGCTTTATATATCATTGATAATAAATGCAGAGTCCTGGGTTAATGCGTCAGACTGCAAAGGCGGCTGAATCACAAGGTTGGCGGTTCAAGCTCACCAAATGCTCCTGAGAAACCCTATATAGAGTGGCTAAGGGTGGGAACCAACTTGAAGACACTAAACAATAATAAATGCAAAATCAAAACAAAACAAAATCCCTCTACAACTTTTTAATCCACAATGCATACAAGTTTTACTACATAGAAAACTGAACCTATTCCAATTTGCAAGTTTATTAAACATAAATGCAAAATAAACCCCTTCCATAACTTTCGCGCCCCCCCCCCCAGTGTATGTATACAAGTCAGTCTTGACAGTTTGTGTGAAGATGGAACCTCTTCGCAATTACACATTTACTAAAACATCTATAAAACATCTATTTCCCTTTTACACCACTTGTTACCTTAGTAACTTCCCCAAACTAGAAAACTTAACAAAAAATGATGTGCAGAAAATTAAATTCGACGCATTTTTCAATTAAGATTAAAATCGGGTTATTGGTCTCCATTTACCCCGATTTTAATCTTAATTGGAAAAAAGCCATTGCTTGGTTGCCACATTTTCTCACATTTTTACACTGAAAACCACTTCTCTTGAATGCCCATTCAGGCAGAAATTTTTGTTAAAGCCCTCTCTTGTAGGACATGCGTTCGGGCGTCCTCGCTTCAGACGTAAACTTTCAGCCCTGCAGCAGCACCATTGAGTGTCAATGAGCATGCACCCCTCATACACCACGACCCCACTGCTAGCAGACTTTTAGAACAGTCCTGGCTGCTAGCAGACTTCTAGAATACACAAACTTTTTTTCGCTCCCCCACCCCCACCCACTTAAGCACACCGACGGGCCTCACCTGGCCAAAGTCAGGTAAGCGTCAGTCTGCTCTCCAGGGGAGGCGGAAGCATCTTCCAAAGTCTCCAACAGCGGCGCGAAGGGGTTCTGACCCGTGTCCGTCATGTCGGCCACCCTGAGACACGGACCGGAAGAGGAGAAAACCCAATGACCGAACGAACTGCCATGCAGCGACCCAGCGCCAGTCCGTCCCCCAAACCTGCGTGCTCGCCCCCGATCTAAGTCCCGCCGCGTCCACACCCCTGGCTCGTCACGGACAAACGCAAGATCCTAACCTTCTCCTTCGCCCCGCAGCACGCATCCGGGCACAAGCAGCGCTCCGGGTCGCTCCCGCCACCACTTTCCCGGGCAGCTTTCAACAGGGGGAGGAGACCGATTAGGGGGCGGGAGATGCACCGGGAACTAGGCATCTCGCCGCGAGGGGGCGGAGGCTGCTCTAGACAGAAGACTCCCATGGCTTAGCACCGTGACCCCGATACTTACCCCCACTTACAAAGATCAGCACTGCGTTGTCTTTGCCGCTACCCCGCGGCACCGGGACGCAGGACGACCTAGACTTTCCCGGCTCAGGCTGTTTACTCACGCGTGCGGACCCACTCCCTCCAAGACCAAGATGGCGGTAGGGGCGGGCCGAACAGCGCGCGGGATTAGGGCAGGCCTGGCGGGAGAGGATAGAGCCAATCCAACAGGCTGCGGCGCACCGGAGTCATCGATCACCTCCCCTCCCCGCCCTACTGCCCCGCCCCGTCCCGCCCCGCCCCGCAAGCCTTCAGGCCCTGAAGCGATCCCCCACGTGGTGGATGTTTTGTCTCACGTTTTCCCTAGAAGATAATTAAGCAATGCAAGTGAATCGTCTAAATTAAATAAATATAGTAGACTTTCAGACTAAATCCGAAGTTCATTCAAGCATTAGCAACAAATTATTTAGCCAAAAGCTATAGCTTACTTTTAAGAGGCTCAAACCATAAGTGCTCAACTCTTCTAATTTCCTAGAAGCCCCTCAAGACCAGCCTGAAGATCTGCTTCTGAAAGGCTTGAAAACCCTGTGAAGCAGCTGAAATGTTCAGGCCATGTTGTTGTTAAGTGCCGTCGAGTCGGTTCCACCCCATAGCGACCCTGTATAGGGTTTCCGAGGAGCTGCTGGTGAGCTTGAACCGCCGAACTTGCAGTTCAAATGGCTGTGCAGTCTGGCGGCTTTGCAGTCTGGCGCATTACAGCTCCACACCAGGACTCCATGAAATGTACTCCATGAAATTAACTCCATGATAACTAACATATTTAAGACTGAGCTAATATCAGTCCCTGATATTACAAGTTAATCAATCTCTCTATGCCTCAGTTTCCTCGTCTCTAAAATGGGATTAATAGTAGCTACCGTTGTAGTGCTGTAGGATAAGCACTGGATTGCTAACTGCAATGTTTGCAGTTCAAACCCACAAGCTGCTCCTTCGCTATGAGTTGAAACTGATTTCTCCATTCTTAACATTTCAGGTTGTAGGTAAGTCAGAAAACATAGAGGAGACCATTGGTTCTCAAGTTTAAGTGTAGAAAACAATGACCTGCATATATTTATTAAACTGCAGATTTCTAGGTCTGCCCTTAGACATTGTGATTTAGCAGACTTAAGTGGCTCTGCCATCTGCATTTTTCCATGTTGGCCAATTTCCAGGCCTTGACTTCAGTCAAGCAGCAACTACCAGCTCCAGAGGCTAGGTTTTTATTTTATTCTATTTCATCTTCACTTAGAAAAGTATCTGCCAACCAAAGCACTCAATACATAATATTTTTTTAATGAATAAATGAAAGAATAGAGTGAGGAAGTCATATATGACTTTGCTATCTAAGACTAAGGAGTCCTGGTATGGCAGATGTGAAGGTATTTTTTAAACTGGCATACTTGCAAAAACACATCTATAGACCTATCTTGTGTATAGATATATTCTTGTATTTTTATTATCTTCTCACCATTACAATGTAAATTCCATGAAGATAGGAACTTTGTTTTATTGATTGTTTTTATAATTTCTCATTTATAAAGAAGAGGTTAGACTGTAATATTTTGTGCAACTCTTTTTAATGTGTGGTTCTATGTGTGGCACTGTAGGCTAAAGCACTGGACCAAAAGATCACTTTGAACCATAAGGTTGGTAGTTCAAACCACCAGTCCCTCCTTGAAAACCTTGTACAAGGTGGCTATGAGTTGAAACTAACTCAATAGCACTTAATAACAATTACTTTCTGAACTGCTATATAATATTGTATCATTGTCATTCACATGCATATAACCCTTGCATGGTTCCCATCAATTAAAAAAGAAAAACCACTGACAGTGAGTTAATTCTGACTCATAATGATCCTATATAGAGTTTCCAAGACAGTAAATCTCTATGGTAGCGGATAGCCTCTGTCTCCCTTGAAGTAGCTCGTGGGTTTGAACCACCTGCATAGCAGTTAGCAGCCCAATGATTATCCCACTGTGCTACCAGGACTCCTCCCATCAACTATTGTTGTTGTTAGGTGCTGTTAAGTCGCTCCTGTATAGCATTTCCAATGAGCAACTGGTGGGAACCTCCAGGGAATGAATTTCAAAGTTCTCAGAATAACATGCAAACTTACTACCATTGGTCCACCAATTGGCCCAGAGTCAACTAGACTGTCTTTTTTCTCTCTTTGAAAGTCTACATCATTCAATTGTGTTTGGAATGTTAATTTCCTTGTTCAACAGTGGTAAATAAAATGCAACAACTGTAATTGAGTTTAGATTCTAAGCACTTGGTTTGCTGAAGTCTGTGGTTTGCATTGAGAACTTAAACTTCATTTTCATTCTCAACAAAAACTCAGCTTCTATTTGAAGTCTTTATGACCATAAACCTGCAATGTAGAAAGTTCTGCCTTCAGACAGGGTGTGTTGGGAAAGCTGATTACAACTCCCTAGCTAGACCAGGGTGGGGCACTCTTACCCTGAGAGGATTTAACTGGGCATGCCTTAATGGAAATTGGGTTATGAGTCATAATCCCACCATCAAGTAGCCATGTGGTTGGGTGGGCCTAGAACAAATCCTGTCCATTTTTCAAATCTACAATTGTGTATTTATCCAATCACGGTTCATTTCCTGCTTCGATAGTCCTGCCTGTGACAGTGATAAATTGATTTGTCATCAATCTTGATCTTGTGATGATTTCCTTTGTTTTCCATGTTCTATAGTCAGCCATGTGGTGCCTTCATCGCCTCATGCTGATGCTCTCCCTCATCCAGATGGTTTGTCTTTATCTTATCTTCATCTTGGTTAAGATTTATGAAGGGAATCTAAAAAGTTGATGGAGAAATGGAATTAAATAATTACATATATATATATTTATATATACTTAAGGAGCTCTGGTAGTGTAGTGCTTACGATTACGAGCTGGGCTGCTAACCTCAAGGTCAGCAGTTGTAAACTACCAGCCATTCTGCAGGAGAAAGATTAGGCTTTCTGCTCCCATAAAGATTTACAGCCTCAGAAGCCCTATACAGGTTCACTATGAGTCGGAACCGACTCCACAGCACATAACTACCACCACCACCATATACAAACTTAGTTTCTCAGCATAAGCTTCATCAAGGTCAAGGCACTTTTTTAAAGTGATGATGCCAGCCATTGAGTCCCTAAAGAACTGAAGGTCCTAGGAATTTAACCATGTCAGTGCAATCTTGGTTACATTATTAAATGAAGAAAAACGGATACCTTTTAAAGGTTTTTTTGATTGTTGTTTCTTGGCAAATGCACTAAACGAACCCTTTACAATAAAAATATAAGAGACCAAATAAAACAGACACAGATGAAAATCCTGAAAACTTGAACTTCAGAAACAAAAAGTTAGAGAAGTAGACTGGATGCTTGCTGGGAAAAGCTAAGCAGGGGCAGTGAGAGAAGGAAACTGATTGGTGAACAGCCAGTTAGCCAAACACCACATGGCCGTCTTTGTGAGCAGCTCACCTTTTTGAGCAGTTTTGGTAACAGAAGTTAGATTGGGAGAACAGAGTCACACAGGCGTCTGGAATGATGTGGTTTCTTCTTTTCCCCTCACACCAGAGGTGTGGCCAGCTCCCACCCTCATATACCCACAGCACAGACACTGCTCCGTTAGAATTGGAACCACGTGGTTGGATACCACATCAGTGTGAGAAGGGGGCTGGCTGCTATGATTTGGTATGCCAATTTGGTGTCTAGATTCAGGTGGGCTCAGCTTAGGACCTACAGAATCCGCAGAGCCCCCAGACCAGCGTTTAACAAGTCACCCTGCTGCCAGCTGCCTTGTTGTCCTAATAGACACTGAAACTAGTTCCATCAAGGGCCTCCACAAACTACTTCCTGACTGAGGGCCCTGAACATAGATTAACATAGAGGCCAAAAGGAACTCTGTTTAGGGCCAGGAACATCTCTGTCACATCCCTCCCACATCTACCTCATGAGCTCCTTGACTTCGCAGGAACCCTACAGAATTTTCATGCTTTTTTTCATTTGGGGGTTTGTTTTGTCCTTTTGTTGTTTAATTATTTTTCTCAATTCTCTCTTCTCTTTCCATCCCTTGAATTTTATTCTTTCAATCTCTGCTTTGAATTTTCCTCCTTCTTCTGTTTCTCATTTCCCTTCCTTTTTTCCCCCTTTGCTCTTTCTTTACTACTCTCTAATCTTTCTCTTTTCATTTTCCCTCTACCTGATTTTTCTAAGTGTTTTTAGACAATTTCTTCCTTTTATTTCCTCTCTTATTTTCTCTACTACAGCTTCATTTTCCTGTTCCACTTTTGTCTTTTTAGTTATCCTTAAATGTTTTTAAATTTTCTTCCTTTTACTTTCTCTCCTATTTTTCTCTTCTACAACTCCATTTCTACCACCTGTCTGTCAGTTTTTCATACTGTGGTGGCTTGTGAGTTGCTGTGATTCTAAAAGCTATGCCACCAGTATTTTAAATGCCAGCAGAGTCACCCATGGTGAACAGGTTTCAGATACGCTTCCAGACGGAGACAGACTATGAAGAAGGAGTGACAACTACTTCTGAATATGTAGTCACTGAAAACCTTATATAGAGAAACATTGTCAGCTAGAACCCCTCAGGTTGGAAGG